TTTTTTTGGTGGTGCTGGGTTTTGAACTCAGGGCCTCACACTAGCTAGGCAGGCACTCTACCACTTGAGCCACTCCCCAGCCAAAGAGGTTTATTTTTAAGTGTCTCCCTCCACAAAAACAGTGACCTGCAATAGTGTCTTGAGTTGAGTTCTGGAAAGTGGGTGAGTGACACTGTTGTTTGAAGGTCCATCTCTCAGGAAGGTGCAAGCCTGCGTTGTTCCAACTTGGGCACAGTGAGACCAGAGGGTGAAAAGCGAGCCTCTTCCTCTGGCAAGGAGTGTCCTACTACTGACATTCAGGGCTGGACATCCCGTTTCTTTGTGGGGAAGCAGATGTTGACTGGCTTGCCTTCCTTCCTTAGGTGGTTTTTTGGCAAAATCCCCAGAGCCAAGGCAGAAGAAATGCTTAGCAAACAGAGGCATGATGGGGCCTTTCTGATCCGCGAGAGTGAGAGTGCGCCTGGGGATTTTTCCCTCTCTGTCAAGTAAGTATTTCCCGCCAGAGGCTGGTCTTAGGCTAAATTGTGAGGCTACTGGTCAGGTGTCTGTCAGCACACAAACTGGTAGAGGCTTAGCCTAATCAGTAGACTGATTTTACATTAAAATCCTAACTTTTTGGTTCCTCTAAAACTTAGTTCTGGCATTGCTGGGTAGTGAGCACCCAGTAAAAGGAGTCTCAGGAGCTGAGTTGCGGCTCCTCAGATGGCCCGCCCTGGCCAGTTTTCCCTAAGTCCCGCCACTCCTCCTTCTGGCATGGAGCTTCTGCCACTGTGCAGTAGTGACAGCTCGCCCTGTCAACTGCCTTTACCAGACAGACAGCCCCATCCTACCTCACATTAACTTGAAAAAGCTACCACAAGGGATTTGGGCTGGCCTCCAACCTCTATCCTCCCTGTCTCCTCCTCCCAAGTAGCTGGGATTACAGGCATGAGCCACCGTGCCCAGGACCCTGAGGGATTTGGGACAAGTTTAAATGTGAAGGGGAACTGAAGAGCAGGAAATGGGGGAAATAGGGACACTTGCTCCCTTAGGAAGCAGGCCAAATATAAATTGGAACTTTAAGGAGTCTATGCCAATTATATTTCATTTGTGAAATTAAGATTTTGAGTTAAATTGTAATTTCCATCATTTTTTCACATTCGGTCCTTTTCCGGTTAATACATTATCATAGGATACCCTCTCCTGGGAATCTTACAAATCATTTCATTATTTATATACAAAGAAGTTTAACCTAGATGATTAAATATTCAGCTCACTATTGTATTATAGATTACATTAAATTTTTTTTCCTTTTAAGGATGACAATAAACCATCTTTCCATTTGCAAATGATACAAAGCATAAGACTTTTCAGTTTCAAGAATGTACTGAATGTCTCATTTTAGGACCAATATGTAGCTAAAGTATAGGGGTTTTTGAAATGTAAATTAAGATTTATATTTGTACCCACTGAGATCGGGAGAATCGTGGTTTTGAGGCCAGCCCAAGCAAAAAGTTCTTGAGACCTCATCATAACCAATGGCTGTGCACCTGTGATTCTAGCTTCACAGCAAAGCATAAATGTAAGGATCACAGTCCAGGCTGACCTGGGTAAAATCAAGACCCTGTCCCAAAAATAATAAAACAAATAGGCCGGAGGTGTTGGCTCAAGTGGTTGAGCACCTGCCTGGCAAACTCCAGTACAGGGGGTAAAAAAAACTGTAGTTGTGTTCTGTTGCCAAGCAAAGATTTGAGAGGTTTCAGATATGATCTTTAGTACTTCACAAATATATTAGCAGTGTAGTTACTTTTTATTCCCAGCATATGAAAAGGTTAAAACTGGATGTAATAATCACAGTTTTTCTCTTCTAACAAGAGCTTTTTGAAGTGCTTGATTGAACATATACAACAAATGGTCTTGGTAGGTTTGTGAAATTATCATTTTTGTGCTTCTCATTAGCTTGTGTTCATCTGTTCTCCTTACGTCGTATGCTCCCCATGTAGAAATTAAAAGCTTAGAGTGAGAAGCACAGAGTTAATCAGTGAGTGGTGGCCAGAGCCACCGGACAATTGATGTTGAGCTGAGGACCCACCTGCCTGCCCGGCACAGTGCTGCACATGCTAGGAAGGCCAAGCCATTTCCTCTGTCAAATGAAACTTTTGAAGGAGTTAATGTGTTTATATGAGAAATAAAATGTGAAGCAGATGATATTGCTGCCTTTGACAGCACAAATGTCTACAAAGGTGGTTCACATAACATCAAAGACTCTGAGATACTTCTCTAGTTTTAAGATGTTCAGAGTCTGATTTAAGACACTGGTCATACCGGGTATCGACGGGGTAGGGGGCAGAGGGAGGAGGCGGGGTGGGTGGTAAGAGAGGGGATGGGAGGAGTGGGGAGAAATGACCCAAACATTGTATGTACATATGAATAAAAAAAATAAAAAATAAAAGACACTGGTCGGGCTGGAGATGTAGCCTAGTGATCCAAGAGGACTTACCTAACATGTGCAAGGCCCTGGGTTTGATCCCCAGCACTGCAAGGAAAAAAAGACTTAAAACACAATAGTTGACATAAGGCTTATTGTCAATCCTACTCCTACACTTCAGGAGTGGCTGCAGCACCCCAGGGCAGGGGGGGCCTCTGAGGCCAAACAGGGCCTTTGAATGTCCCTTTCCTCATGAAGCTCTCTTACCATCCACATTTCCTTCTTGCATGGCAAATCCCCCCTAAACTGCAGTTCCCTAAAGTAAAAAATGGTAGATTCCAGAAATAAACAACTCATCAGTTTTAAATAACTTTTATTACAACAAATTGTTTTGTTAGTATTAATCTTTCACTGGAATTAAACTTTATTATAGGATTGTATGTATGTATGTATAGGGAAAAACATAATCAATACAGGGTTTGCTTTTATCTGTGTTTTCAGACATCCCCCTGGGTGGTCTTGGATCAAACTCCCAAGGATAAGGGGAATCACCCAGCTAAACATTTAGTATCTTGTACTCACTGTCTCAGTGCTGCCACCTGCTGGGTTATCTATAGGAAGCATTTGGTTTCTTCAAGCTAAATTTAAACTGAAGGAAGTCTCCATTCATTGAACAAATGTTCAGAGTGCTTTTAGAGGGTTTGGCAGTAAACAAGACAGCAGAGTTCTTGTGGAGCATCTGTTCTGGCCAGATGTCACCGCGATAGATCCCATGGGCCAGCACCGGTCAGTCACACTGCTCTTTGGGCTGGCCAGTGCAAAAGGGAGCATGTTAGGCAGCAAAGGAGCTTTTGTTTCTTTGGTGCCTAGGCCTCATTATGTGTGTGCTTGTTTTTATTTTCTTTTTTTCCCCTAGGCCTCATTTACTGTTTCAGCATGTCATTTTGTTCTGAGATATTTGTTTGTTTGTTTCAAGACAGAATTTCTCTGTATAGCTCAAACTGGACTGTAACTTGCTGTATAGCCCAGGCTAACCTCAAACTGGCAATCCTCCTGTGTCAGCCTCCTGAGCTGAAGCATGGAAGTACTGCACCTGGCTTGTTCTGAGAAAACTAAACTTTTGGGCTGGGATGTAGCTCAGTGGTGGAGTGCTTGCCTAGCATGCGTGATGCCCTGGGTTTGATTCTGGCACCAAAAAAGAAAACAGAAACACGCGCCCCGCCAAAAAAAAAAAAAAAAACACCATCAATCCCTCCTCGCTTATTTCTTATGACATGTTTTTGGTTGGTTGATTGTTTAAAGAGGTTGTTTAACCTCCTTAAAAGGGAGTTAAAGTCACAGTCCTTGGAAGGAAGGCTCTGTTATTTGGTACCATGCAGAGCACAAGCTTGCAGTAGGTACTTTCTCTCTTTATCTTACAAAAATCTTCAGAATCAGACTGGTGTGTGGGGTTTTCCCTGTCTGAAGGATTCTTTATACTGCTTCCAGTGACCATCAGTCATGGAGGGGTCCCAGGGATGCTCAGTGATTGTCCCAGCTCTCTCCAGCCAACAGAGCAGCTTGTTCTACAGCCCCTGCAGAACATTCCCTCAAGTTAGAGAGAGTGTTACCAGAAAAGCAGTGCCCTCAGCCCTACTGCCTGGCTGAGAGCCTCTGACTAGCCAGGACAGAGCCCTTTGGTGGCTCACATGTTTTCTCTGCCTCTCCAGGTTTGGAAATGATGTGCAGCACTTCAAGGTGCTCCGTGATGGAGCTGGAAAGTACTTCCTCTGGGTGGTGAAGTTCAATTCTTTGAACGAGCTGGTAGATTATCACAGATCGACATCTGTGTCTAGGAACCAGCAGATATTTCTGCGGGATATAGAGCAGGTGCCACAGGTAAGCCCAAGTGTTTGGGGCAGAGAGCTGGGGCCTCTTCCATCAGGTAAGAGTTGCTCCTCAAGCAGGTGGATCACAGGTTTGCTTCTGGACCTTCCATGTGCATCATATCAGCTGTTACCCTAATTCACCTTGAAGACCTGAAGTTTGAAGTGAGGTGGTTTTGCCTTTATCAGAGGTGCTCTCGGTGGCAGTGTTGCTAGTTTACCACCTGTCTCCATAAGGAGACAGCCCGTAGCTCATGCTGTGGGATGTTCTGTCCCCGGATGCAGATTGTGAGGCAAATTGTATGTAGAAGGGTGTGGGGTCTGCACTCATTCCTACTGCTAACATCCCAACCCTGAGCTGTGGTCAGTACCACCTTATTTTATTGCATCTCTAGACTTTCTGATTCTATAAAACCTTCTAGGGTATTGTAAGTGGTAGGATGCAAACATTTTTAGGTAAATCTTTGGAAGAGATCCCAACTTTCCCCCTCATCAGGCAGTCTTGCTGTTCGCCTTGACAATATGGCCCCTCGGCCACCCTCAATGAGATATATCCTCCTGGTTTTTGAGCATTGGTGATTGATTGCACTGAAGCTCCCCAGGGTAAAAGAACACTTAAGACTAAATGGGCTGTGTGGGTGTAGCTGTATGGGAAACGTGGGGACTGGCAAGCATCTGCTCCCTCCTGTAAGCAGTGCAGTTTGCAAGGGCTTGGCAGGATTGGGAATGCCTCCTGCATGTTCTCCTGCTCCTCTTTTGCAGCAGCCAACGTACGTCCAGGCTCTCTTTGACTTTGACCCCCAGGAGGATGGTGAGCTGGGCTTCCGCCGGGGAGACTTCATCCACGTCATGGATAACTCAGATCCCAATTGGTGGAAGGGGGCTTGCCATGGGCAGACCGGCATGTTTCCCCGCAATTATGTCACCCCTGTGAACCGGAACGTCTAACAAGCAAGAGAGATTATTTAAAGAAATTGAAAACATACAAATGAATTACACCTACAAGCTGCCTCTAACAGCAGCCTATGAGGGAGCTCAGAACACCTGGCTGGGTCACACTGGTGACCATCTCACTTTGGTTGGAACTTTGGGGGAGGGGTGGGAACGGGTGTTGGATATCAAAATGCCAAAACTTACCTATTGAATTAAGAGTTTTTATTACAGATCTCACTGCTGCTCCCGTTTCCCTCCTGTGTCCTTTTTCTCGTCCTTTTTCTCCTATCCTTCAGTGCATGACGTTTAAGCCACATATAGTCCCAGCTGATGCCAATAATAAAGAAAAGAAACAAAGTGGGCTGGTATTTTCTCTATGCAAAATGTCTGTTTTAGTGGAACTGACTGAAAAAAGAACAACTTGTCTGTGTTCTTCATATATACACACAAAAAGGAGTGGGCAGGGTGGCTGGGGCCCCTGCTGTTGAGCCTCTGCCAGAGGAGGGCCGGAGGGACCTGCTGCCAGCCCCAGTTGGACTCAGCGGGGAAAGGAGGGTGCATTGCCCACGCCTGTGGCACTTGAGAAAGTCAAACTGCAAACCTGCGCCTCTCCACGTGTCTCCTCCAGATGTTGTTATTGAAGGTGTCGTTTTCATAGTGCCTTTTTCCTTATTTCAAGGGTTGCTTTATGAGTGCTGTTTTTTATTTGTTTTGTTTTAGAGTAAGTTAAAGGCAATTCAGAGCTCTTCAGCCAATTTGTCTCCAACTCTGTGTAAATATTTTTCCCTTGGGGGAGGGGAAAGCAGGGTAGAGAAAGGAGACAAGTAGAGTGGAGAGTGTGAGCGTTCTGCCTGTGCGAAGCCAGAAGCCTTTGCAGGTTCAGCTTTAATATTTGGGGTCCCCTCAGAGATGAGGAGAGCACTGGCCAGGCTGTGGTGGGAGTGGTTGCAGCTCTACCACACCTGCGATCTGGCTGTAAGGGCAGGCTCAGAATCCTTGACCTCCAGGTCTCAGTCTGATCTGCCACTTCTTTCCCCAGAGACCCCCAGCACAAAGTCCGGAGTCAGCAGGTTTTAAAGACGGGGAAGCCAGAGGGGAGCTAGCATCCAGACTGCCCTTGTTTTGCTGTTGGGTTATACACCTCCTACACTAGGCAGTGAATTAAGAGGATTCACTTTTCATTTTTCTTACTCTTAAAATTAGGTCCTGGCTTTCACATGTGTGTCCTAACTTGCTAGGTAAGCAGCAGGACAGTGAATTGTAGGTCATTCCTGTCTCCATTCACAGTAGACTGTGTTCCTGACTGACCCCCAAACCCCACCCTGAGAGTTTGGGGGAGGCAAAGTAAGGGAGACGGGAAGGCCAAATCCACTGCAAAGGTCTGTCCTCTTCTGTTAACTTGCGGTTCCTTGTAGTGATATGCCTGTAAACTGTTTCTCTCCACCCAGTCTCTCTTCCCGTAACAAAAACAAGGCGCAGTGGGGTCTCCCCTGGTTGTAGAGGTGGACTGCAATTGGAGTGCCTGAGGCCCAGGAGGAGGTGGGGCTTGTGGATTGTGAATAGAGCTGATTCTCACCTCTCCTGCTCTCTCACTCAACTCTTCTCCCCCTACCCCCCCCCCATTATAAAAGGAATCTCTGGCATTCTATACCTGGACCATTTGATTGTTTTATTTTGGAATTGGTGTATATCATGAAGCCTTGCTGAACTAAGTTTTGTGTGTATATATTTAAAAAAGAATCAGTGTTTAAATAAAATGACCTATGTACTTAATCCTTTAACTCTGCAGATAGCATTTGATAGGTAGTGATTAACTGTGAATAATAAACATACAATGAATTCTCCACTCTGTATCTTTTTTTTCCCCTTACTTAAAATGAAATTTTAAATCTGAGGGGTTAGGGCAGTGCCACAAGACTGGAGTCCTTATTTCCACCTCACCTAGTTTATGTCCCCTGGGCAGAGACTGGGTCTTCTGGGAACCTAGACCTAAACTTGGCTGTTCTTGTTTGAGATGCAGTCTCCCTATCCGGGGCTCAACCAATCCTGCTTCAGCCTCCCAAGCACTGGAACTACAGGTGCACACAACCATGCCTGGCCACGGTGACCCTTTGGGAGGACCAGAGGACCAAGACCTGAGCTTGTTTGGTTCTCCCCCACTTAAGGAGCAGAAGGACAAATGACTGTGACTAGAGGTTTCAACATACACTGGTTATGGTATGTTTAGAGAGACTGAACAGAAAGGAAATTAAACCCTTGTAATTTCCACTTTGCTTGGGTTTTTCTTAGTCTAGTTTTGTTTGTTTTTTGTTTTTTTGGTGGGTTTTTTGTTTGTTTTGGTACTGGGGTTTTGAACTCAGGGCACTTGCTAGGCAAGTTCTCTGTCACTTGAGCCACGCCTCCAGTAAGCTTTATTTTTCAGATAGGGTTCCTTGCATTTTGCCTAGGCTGGCCTCAGAGCACAATTCTTCTACCTGAGCCTCCCATATAGCTGGAATTACAGGTGTGAGCTACCACACGGGCCTGTTCCTTGAAATGGGGTCTTGCTACGTTTTTGCCTGGACTGAACTCCAACCACAAACCTCCTAGCAGAAATTACTTACTGGGTATGAAACACCACTCCTGGCTCATGGTCTAGTTCTTCAAGAGACCTCGGCAAATAGCCTCATTTGTAGCTTCCTTCCTTAGGCTGGGGACCTTTCATTCTGTGTGTTGGTACTAGGATTTAAACACAGGGCCTTGCGTTTACTACGCTCCCAACCCCAAACATTACTTCTACATAGCTCAGTAGTGGAGCACTTCTCCAGTATACAAGAGGCCAGGCTCACTACTCAAACGCACAATAAAAAACAAAACAAAACTTGGTATAGTGCCACATGTGTGTAATCCCAGCACTAGGGAAGCTAAGGCAGAGGGATTATGAGTTCAAGGGCAGCTTCAGCTACATAGTAAAACTCTGTCTCAAAAAAAAATAATAAAAAAAACTAACAGTTTATAAGGTATACCATATCCCATCCAAAAAAGGAATTTCTGAGACAGCCAGTACTTGAAGCCGTACCTGTTTCTTTCCTCTGGTCTCTCAGGACGACTTACTGTCTAATACTTTCTGACTTAGTGTGTAAAAGCACAGTCCCACTGGGTGCCAGTCACTGATTCTCCTAGGGTCTCCAGATTACAACCACAGGCCCTGAGTGCTGTCTCTGTGCTGCAAGCATGTAAGGGTCCTGGCCTGGGGGACAGGCGTCAGCACCTCCCATCATCCTAGCAAAGCAGAGGGTCAGGAGCCTTGCATGGTGAGGATTCCTGGTGGTTTCATTTCTGGGGCACATGGCCTCTTCTGGCTCTGGAATTAGGGAGCTTCCCCTGCCAGGGAGAGGCTGAGGAGAACCCCTTGTACATCCCCCACAGACCAGAGTCTCCCCTTTCCATTCCTGCACCTGGGGCACCACTACTGTGAGTCATCCTGAAACTAGAAATTACCCCACTTCAGGCTTGTACTGTAGGTGACACAAAAGCATTTGTCCATCCTGATTTGGATACTTTGAAGCTGGGGCTGGGTAATTTCCAGAAGAGAAAGTGTGGAAGCACATTAGCAGGCCGTGGGTTGGGACCGATGGGAGTCATGTTGTTGACTAGGTGTTGGGTGAAATTGTTTGGACAGTTACTAATAGGATAGCAGGGGTGGGGATTTAGCTTAGTGATAGTTCAAGTGTGAGGCACTGAGTTCCATGCCTAGCACCAAAACGAAAAAAAAAAAAGCGGGGTGGGGGAGAGCAAGCAGGGCAGGCAGAGCTGTGTCAGTGGAGGCATGGAGGTGGTGGGCACGGTGATGGTGCCTGGAGACGGCTCAGAAGCTGTTACCCTAGCTACTCAGGAGGCAGAGATCAGGAAGATCATAGCTGAAAGCCAGCCCAGGCAAATAGTTCGAGAGATACTATCTCGAAAAGGAGACCCTTCACAAAGGGCTGGTGGAGTGGCTCTGGCTCAAGGTGTAATCCCTGAGATCAAACCGCAGTACTGGAAGAAAAAAAAGAAGGCACTTGAGCAGCTGCCTGCTGTGAAGACAGAGAGCCACTGGACTTGGGCTCTGAAAGCAGGGATCCAGTGTGACACTGGAGACTTGACTGTCTTGTGTCTTGTAGACTCAAAGCATGATGAAAATCGAGTTAGGGAAACCTAACTCCAGCAGTGCTCTGAACAGAGCCAGGGAATCCTGGAAGAGGCCAAGGTCATGTTAGCTTAGGAAGTAGCAAGCTGGGCGGAGACTGCCCAGTTCTCTCCTTCTGGCTTATTAGTTGGACCATGTGCCCAGCCTCCTTGCAGTTCCGAGCTGCTGTGTGCTGAGATGCTGGCACATGGTGTACATGGTGAGCCCCATGGCATCTCCTCTCCTCAACTTGAGGCTGGATGTAGGGGTACCAGCAGAGGAGGCAGATCACCAGGTAGACTTGTCACCAATGAAAGCTGACACATCTGAAGTGTGGCACCACTGATGTTAGGAGGGGCCACACTGGGGGAGAGTGAGTTGGGAAAATTTTGAGAGGTCCCTGTATAAATTTTAGTTTTAAGGGAAGAAGTGGACTTGCCATCCTCATCTGAAATATAAGAAAGTAACAAAGCCAGCCAAGGAAAACTGGCCTGACACATGTACAATCTAACACTTACCAGGCTCATTGGCCAAGATCCCCTCTGGGCAGCTGCTCAGGATGGATGGAACCTGCTCCCTTCCCTCTGAACATTCTGGCTTGGTCTCAGCTTCTTCAGCCACTGAACAGGTAACTGTTGGGGACATCACAGTGCTATACCTTCTCACTTCCTTCAGGGCTCTGCTCAGATGTGATTCTCAGAGAAGCCCTCCCTAAATGGAATAGTGGTCATGTCTGACACTTTCTCTTGCTAACTGCTTGGTTTTTCCCCTTGGCTGTCATACTACCTCACAGGCTTCTTACTGCCTGGATGCTATCTTTCTCCCCAGCCTCCCCGCTGGACTGTAAGCCTTATTTCCCTGGAAAAGTGCCTGAAACAGATGGGCTGCTGCTCTATATTTATTATTGGATTTAAAAATAGTATGTCCCAGACATGACAAGGCCCGTGCCACATTCCCAGCCTTCCGGTCTGTAGGGAAGGCAGTAGAACAATGATGGCTGGTGAAGGAAGACAGCAGTTCCTGCCTGCCAGAGGCTGGGGAAGACCAGCTAGCCAGACATGCACAGCTGACAGGATGAGGGCTCGGTGAGGACCGAGTGTGTGCCAGGCAGGGTCCTGGAAGCCCCAGCCATACCTGCAGGAAGGTATTCACTTGTTTATTCCTGTTTGGAGAGCAGCTTTACTGAGACACAACTAACATACAAGTCATCTGTTTTGGTTTTTCTGTTGTTGTTTTCTTAACGAATTTCCTGTATTTTTTTCTCCTTTTTACTAGCATATCTTAATTTTGCAGGGGTTTCACTGTGAAATTCCATGCACACGGATACTGTATTTTGGTCAAATTCACCCCCTCTATTATTCTTTCCTATTCCCCAGTTTTTAACAGGTTTCATTATTTTCTTTCTTTTTTGGTGGTGCTGGGGTTTGAACTCAAGGCCTTGTTCTTGTTTGGTAGACACTCTGTGGCTTAAACCACACCCCAGCACTTTTTGCTTTGATTATTTCTGAGATAGGGTCTCGCTTTGTGCCCACGATGGCCTGAACCGTGACCCTCCTATTCATACCTCCCACTTAGCTGGGATGACAGATGTGCAGCACCCAGCCCAGCCATTGGCTAAGATGGAGTCTAGCAAATGTTTTACCCTGGCTGACCTTGGAACATGGTCTTCCGGACTTTCTTGCAGGTGTCTCGCAGGCTTGAACTACCATACCTAGCCTTAGTATTCTGTTTTCAAACATGCACATGAAGTACTTCAGTCATACTCACTCCCCTCACCCTCTCTTTTCACCCTCCCCCTCCAGATCATCCATTGTAAGTGAGCCATTCTGGACAGGTGAGGTGGCCATGCCTGTAATCCCAGCTACTCAGGAGGCTGAGGAGGAGGATGGTGAATTCGAAGCCAGCCTAGGCAACATAGAGAGATTCCAACTCAAAACATTAAAATACCCAGGCGCCGGTGACTCAGGCCTGTAATCCTAACTACTCAGGAGGCAGAAATCAGGAGGATCATGGTTCGAAGCCAGCCCAGGCAAATAGTTCGTTTGACCCTATCTTGAAAAAAACCCATCACAAAAGAAGGCTGGTGGAATTAGTGGCTCAAGGTGTAGGCTCTGAGTTCAAACCCCAGTACTCCAAATAAATAAGTAAATATTAAAAAAATAAAATAAAATGAACCATTCAATGGTTTCTAGTATTATTCACATTTACTTAAGCCCCACTACCCCAGAGACACCCGGTACACACTAGCAGTCTCTTTCCACTTCCCCTGACCACTGCCCACCTGCTTTCTGGTTCTGTGGCTTCTGGATGTGTTCTACAAACAGATTCATACCCCCTGTGGCGTTGTATGTCATGGCCGATGGTCATGTTTTTTTGAGGTTCATCCATGTGATAGGACATATCCGTACTTTTTCCCTTCATGGTGTAATAATGCCCCATTGTGTGGATATGCTATATTTCCTTTATTCACTTATCAGTTGAGCATTTGGGTTTCCACATTTTAATTATGAATACTCCTGTGAACAGACAAGTGTACAAGGCTTGATCTGGCAGAGTGGCTCAAGTGGTAAAGCGCTTGCCTAGCAAACATGAGGCCCTGAGTTCAAACCCCAGAACTGCAAAAAAAAAAAAAAAAACCAAGTGTACAAGGTCTTTTGTTTTTTGCAGCACTGGAGCTTGAACTGGAGTTTGAACTCAGAGCCTTGAGGTTGCTAAGCAGGCACTCTGCCACTTGAGCCACACCCCGGCCCAGTGTGGACATGTTTTGAGAGGGCTCTAAGTAGAGGAGCAGATGCCAGCACAGCGGGGGAGGGGCAGTGCAGACACAGGGCCAGTTGTCCTGGTGTGTTCGTGTGGAGGTCACAATGACTTTAGGATCCTTAAATGGTCACTGAGGATCAACTGTTGTCTGTTATGACAGGGACCCTGGAGGAGGAGGCCAGTGGTGGGATGGGGCTGAACTTGAGCAGCAGGGGGTAGTCA